CATCACATATTATCCAGAGGCTCTTCACATAACACCCCATCAACACAGCGATCCTGTTAAGTTACAGGTAGAACTTAAAGGGGCTGTTCACCCCAAAACTAAAAAAACAGAGGGGGTTTAGTACTATCTATCCATCTATGTTATTCTGCTGGGGATTGGCCAGTTTTGGAGATATTGGCTGTGGAAATGTCAGGCTATATAATGGGAGTGAATGGCATTCTTTATGTGGTGATCAAAGAGCCGGAAAAATCCAACAGCAATGTCTCTTCCCGTAAATCATGACTCCGTTATCGAAGGTAATCCGCAGACTGTAGTGAGAAGTGACTGTATGAAATATTTTCTTCTACCGAGCTCCACAAACCAATCGTATCACTGCGCAGGAGATATGGGGGGGGTGCCTGCGCTCGCATCTCCTGCACGGTGATGTGATTGGTGTGTGGAGTTTTAATACAGTGAAATGTCAGCTTGAGCTTCACACCTCATTCCTCTGTCACCCTCTGCTCACTCATTGGTTTGCACTCCTTACTGTCCCCTTAGCATTCATTCCGCTGCCTTTCGGTTCCGCGTCCTTATAAGCCGCGTCCTTGGCATTCCATCACCCTGGATTGAATAGCACTCCATTTGCCCTTCACAACCCAGCACCGCGAGGAACCTGAAAGCCTCTCCTGGAAGAAACGGCTCTGCCTTTAATGGAGGGAGATGGTTGGGGTTGGTGGTTTAACTCCAGCCTTGTTTACCTGTTAGAATTGTGTCCACGGTACATATTTCAGAGAAATTGTAAGAATCGCGGAACAGCATTTACTTTTTTTAGTGGACACTTTTGTCCAAAACAACATACAAGTGAAGCAAATAGCACATTGCAGACATCCATGCTGTCAAGGTGTCAGTCAGGCATAAATGCGACGAGGCTGAGCTTCCAGTGAAGACCCAGGTACATGTGCATCATCCTCAGCTGCAGACTCTTACTGCTACCAGTAACCAAACAGAAGAAAGCACTTATTACTGGTGCAAAAGAATCAAAATCTTACATTTATTATATAATTACCCATTATTTGCTTATACTTGTAAACTGAGTTCAGAAGTACGCAGTTGTTGACCAAAGTGATTAATGTTAGTTTGTCTATGAAACTTTTGTAACTTTAATATAAAAAAAAAACACTTTTGTTGTAATGAGTCAGTTTCTTTGATATGTACGGTATTTTAAATACCTTAATTAAGTTTATTATTAAAGCACTACAGGAAGTGTTTCTTGTAAGGATAGTTAATTAGCATTACTGCATTCATTCCAAACAATCATCATCTGTATCATGGATCATGATTATAACCGAAAATGCTATGATATTTTGACCAAGTCGCCCAGCCCTAATCCAGGGGCTGCCCCGCCTCCACCTCTTACTTGCTGGGAGAGCCGGTGGATCACCGGCACCCTAACTGGTTGAGCAATTATCAGAGATGGAATGTTGGTGACTCTCCAGTATATCTTCTGGAGATCCAGACAACCTTAATTTGCTCTTGCTTGCCTCTGTAGCATCTAGTGAACTGTTCCACCCTTTATGGGACCGGGCTACTTAAAAGACTCTTAAATGTCAAATCAATATCTTCAATCTCGTAGTTCTCCCATCACGTAGGTTTTTTTTTAAATCGGAAATCCCATTAAAGGCTTTCTTTTCGATTGCTTTGCCATTTTTATTACTTCTATCACTTTATCCTCTCCCCTTTATCGGGTCAGTCACCCTTTGACCCCAGCTGGGCCGGCCTGCTGGGACTCGTGGGATTTTACCCTAGCACTGGAGTTTCGAGGATGCATCCAAAATGTAAAGGACCATAACATCTTTGTTATTTCCACGGTAACAGGCTGTGCAGTGCGTTGCCCCCTAGCTGCTACTAACTAGTTTATTATTTTTCATTTATTTCCCTCTCTCTCCCTTTTATGCAACTTCGACCTCTGCAATTTCTCTGTGAAGCTTTGTGACATTTGTCAGTATGGTTGCTAATTAATGACTGTTTTATCATTCATGATCACGGTGGTTGGCACTGTGACATCACACCCCTGGGGTCCTGCGTTTGGTTTGTCCCCCCACTTCTGCATGTGTGAAGTTTCCTTCCGATACTCTCAGTTTCCCCCACCAGCCCAAAGACATGCGCTTAGCTGGATTAGTGTCTGCAAGTTGCCCATTGCGTGTTATTGTGTGTGGGTGTGTCCCCTCTGGTGGACTGGTGCCCCATCCAGAGAGTCCCCTGTGGTGGACTGGTGCCCCATCCAGAGAGTCCCCTGTGGTGGACTGGTGTCCCATCCAGAGAGTCCCCTGTGCTGGACTGGTGTCCCATCCAGAGAGTCCCCTGCCTTTCTGCGTAACACTCCAGGCTCACTGTGACCCCGTGATGGATGGCTGGAGGATCAGGTGATTGGATGATCAGTCGTTACTAATGTGATCCATGGGACAAGCAGCTTCAGATGCTGATTCCTGGACTAAGTGGTTGTCGCACTGTGCTGCTGATTGATACACTACAGAAACTCGGCATGTAGTGGGATGAAGAAACTTCTTATTGGTTCAGCTGATTAGAGGCTAGTGGCACCTAATTATGTCCAATAAACATGCTCCTTCACTCTCACCGAAGACAGTTCTACAATGGCTTACTGAGTACACAGACCCTGTAGCCCTCTTAGGACGACTATCCAGCCCCAGCAGACATATATGAAGTATGAAGGTTGTGCTTTACACCCAGGATGGTGACTAACCCCTAAGGGATCTAACTTTCAAGGTGATGCTGGATAGCACTCCTGGGGGGTTTGTCCGTGGGAGGATCGGAGCGGCGTTCCTGGGGAGCCAATGGGAGCAGGCGAGGTTTGTCGTGCCCCCCTCCTGCAGGGTATTTGTGCAAAAGCTTGTGGCAGATGTTACTCCTCATGCGTCTCTTAAATTCTTCATCTTTGTGTCTTTATTTAATGCAGACAAACTCGTGTGAGCGCCACTCGCCACCGGTTACCGCTTGCGGGTTTATGGGATGTCCTTGACTTTTTTTTTTCTTTAGTGTTAGAAGAGTTACTCATGGGTGTCAGCATGGAATCTGTTAAGGAACCCAGGAGCTGTGCTTCCAGAACCTTCTCTCTCGCCTTCCCCCGACACACGAGGCGTTTGATTGAGCGGCTCCACAGCATGCATTAGCGTTGCCTTCTGCCCCTAGTGGATTAGCCCAGTCATTGCTCTCCGAAAGCTATTTCATTACTCCGGCACCTTGGATGGTCTGATGGCCCAGCGGGGTGAGCCGGCTGAGGGTTTTATGTTTTTCCTCAGACCTCAAATAGCCCCCCCCCACCCCTTCATCTCCCCATTCCGCTCCTCCCCCCCTTCCATGTCGGGCCCCCCCCTCCGCATTTCATATTGAGCACACATCAAGGAGTCCTTTGTTGATCCCCCCAGTGTGTGTTAGGTCTGCTGAGCAACTCCC